TCCCAGCAGCCCCAGAGCGGAAAAGGCCCGGCTCTCCACGGAGACGAAGCAGGCCTCGGTCCCGCGGCCCAGCGAGGGAAACCCAGGCCTCCCCGGCGCCCGGAGCCCCAGCCCAACCCGGGCCGCCGTCCCCATTATCCCGCCACCACCCCCGCCCGCGCAGGCGCAGTGGGAGCCGGGCCTACCCGCGCCCCCGAGGCGCCGCCGCCATGGCGGAGCAGAGGAGGCCGGCGGCGGCTTAGCGCCCAGAGAGCGCCGCACTCGCGTGCCCGCGGCCTCCCAGCCACCGCCGCGGCCCTGTCAGCCCCCCGGCCGGGCCCTCCGCCGCCCTCCTCACCCGTTCTTCAGATCCACCTCCAGGATCTTCCCGTAGCCCTTAAAGAAGCGCTCCACATCGCGCTCCCGGGCCTGGTAGCTCAGGCGGCCGATGTACACGCGCGGCATCCCGGCGGCGGCGGCTGGCCCCGGCCCCCCTCAGGCGGCGGCCGGCGAAGGGAAAGCGCGGCAGCGGCGGCGGTAACGGGCGGGCGGCGGGACGGACGCAGCCGAAACCCGGCGACGTACGCGAGCACGCAGCTCGAGAGCGCGCGCCCCCGCTCTCTCCCTCCCCTCCGGGCGGAGGGGAACGGGAGGGAGCGCGCGCCCGCCCGCTTCCCGCCCGGCCAGGGCTGGGGGAAGGGCCTTTCTTGGAGGCGCGCCGGCGCGGGGCGGGGCCTGGCCGGGTGAGCGACAGCTACAGCGCGTCTTCTCGCGAGTGCGGCGTGGCGTCCGCACTGCCCCCGGAAGTGTCTGCGCGAGTGCGCGCCGAGCCGGTGTTCCAACCATTGTCCCTTTCTCCCGGAGTGTTTCTGCTTCGGAGTCGTTTGCGGTTCAGCGTTCCGGAGGGAAGCTGTGATTCCGCGACCTTGAGACCATTTCCTTTTCTCTCGGGTCTCTGAGCCTCCTTTATCTTCCGTGTAGGGTTGTCTTGACAATTATGATACTGGGTACGTAAAACAGTGTTCACATAAACGATACCGTATTATTTTTGTGGTGCTGTGGACCGAATTCAGGACCTCACGGTTGTTAGCAAGTTTTCTACCACTGTTACATACCAGGTCTATTTTTTTTTGGGGGGGGGGGATACAGGCTCTACTCACTATGTAAACCAGGGTGGTCTCGAACTCAGAGATCTGTGTGCTACCTCCCGAGTGCTGAGACTGAAGGTGTGCACCACTATGCCCAGCCAGTTTAATAACTTGCAGTTAAAATTTGGCACGACAGGAGAATTTTCTAACCTTTAAGATTGTCATATATAGGTGTCCAGTGTACTGCCAGAATAATCAAATGGCTTGGAAGCGCTTGTTCTGGGGCATCTGGGAGCTCAGTTTTGATTGGTTCCCTTTCAGCTTTACCTGTCACTGAGGAGTTTTGTTTCTATTCTGCATTCTCAATTCATGTGCAGTTTCCATCCCAGAGGCAGTTTCTTAAACATTCTTTCAGAAGTTGTTACTGTACAGTTCTTGGCTTTTCTTTTTAGACAAGAACATTTTATATTCAATGGCTTTGAATTCCAGAAACCTATTGTAGCCTTCTAAGAATTGATAGTTCAGGTGTCGGTCGCCACACCTAATTTTTGGTTATTTTGAAAATAATTCCAGAAGTGTATTAAAGGCACTCAGGACCATTTTTGTTTCATAACACACCATTTTATACATAGTGCCTGACATGGTCACCACAGGGTTCAACCTTTGGTTTTTGATAATTGCCACAATCAGTGACTATGTATATTCATGTAGGATCTATTCCTGAAAATAGGAGTATTAACATTTGTCTAGCCTAGGTCTGATCCTCAGCCACACACACATTCCAATTTGGAAGTAGGGAAATTAGGTTAAAGAGCATGAGCATTTTCTTTATTTTGGGACACAGTCTCATTTAGTCGCCTAAGCTGGCCTTGAATTCACAGCAGTCCTCTTGCCTCAGCGTCTTTTGTGCGGAGAATGCAGGCATGTGTTACTATGCCTGGTTTAGTATGTGTAACTTGGTGGCTGTTGTCTCAAATATCTAACATGTTATCAAATAATCAAATCCTTTGACCTTTGTCAATCCAGCAAAAGTGGTATCCCCTAAGGCCACTTAATTTACAATCATCTCTTGAGGGAGTGAGCCTTTCTTCGTGTTCTCCATGTCCTCTTCTAGCCTCTGAGGGCATCTGCGTGCACTTGCTACTTTCTATACACCTTGACACGTTTTCCTTTGTGTGTTTTACCCTATGCCCATTTTACTTGATTCATAGCTCACTATAGACTAGGAAAACCAGTTTGCCAAATGAATTGCAAATATTTCGCCAGTATTTTGCCATTGCCATGTTTTTGTTGTGTGAGGTCAGAGGACTTTAAGGAAATGCTTCTCTCCTACTTTGATGGTGTGATGCAGGAACTGAACTCAGATCCCCAGACCTGTGTGACACTTTTTTAAAAACCCGTTGAACCTTCTTACTGAACTTATTGTGTTTTGCCATAAAAAAATAAACTTATGGGGGTTACCCCATCCCCAGTTTTATGTTATATTTCAAATGCTTTCTCACTTTGAGGTCTTATTTTTCTTTTGATGTTGTCTGGAGGTAGGTGACACATAGCCCAGACTGGCCTAGAACTTGCTATGTACCTAAGAGCTGATCTTCCTGCCTCTCAAATGCTGGAGGTACAGGTCTGAGCCACCATACTTGGTTTGAGGTTTTAAGATTTTAAAAACAGGCCAGGTGGTGGTAGTGCACACCTTTAATCCCTCTGAAGGCAAAGGCAGGCAGATCTCAGTGAGTTTGAGGCCAGCCTAGTCTAGGACAGCGAGGACTGTTAGACAGAGAAACCCTGTCCTGGGGGGGGGGGGGAGATTAAAAAAAATTTTTTTTTAATCTCTGTTTGTGTATGTGAGTACAGAGGCCAGGTGTCAAGTCCTCCTGGAGCTGGAATTACAGGTGGTTTGAACCACCTGACTGATATGGGTACTGGGAAACACGATTCTGGTCTTCTGTAAGAGTAGTATATGCTCTTAAGTGCTGAGCCAGCTCTCCATCCCTTTCTATACTAGTTATGAGGTTAGTCTTGTACAGCAGCAGTTTATCATTTGGCAGGTAGCTCAGCGGTAGTGCACCTCCCCACCATGTTCAAGCCTCCCCTCCCTGCCTTTGATCCTCAGCACCATTTGCAGCTGCTCTCAAGTATTGCTAAGCCCTTCCAGGCAAAAGGGTAGCAGTAACTGGAACTCACAAGTTTATGTAAGCACCTCTCTCCTGGGCCTGTCTTCCCCTGAGGACACAGGCACTTACCAATATTGTGGCAGAGGCCATGGAGTTGTGGGGTGGATGCTCCCCCACCCCTTGGAGACAAAGGCTGGAAGTGTAGTGAGATATCCACTCTGCCGAACCTGTTGCACTGACCTCACCCATTGGGACGTGGGGACAGGTGTAGGCCTGGGGTCTGGACCCCAGCTTGATCTCTTCCTGGTTGGAGACAGAGCGCTTCCGGGGGCATCCTTGGAATGGGAACCTGTGGTGGCTATCTGTTTCTGGTGTAAGTGACTTCTCCTCAAATAAACATCCTTCAGCCTGTTTCCCAGATTATTTCCCATGAAATACCCCCAACTTTGTGACAACCCCAAAGACTCATACCCTGCCTTTTGTTCTTGCTGCCTCTTAGGCTTTCTCACTTGTCCCCATGGACCCTTGGTACAAAACACCTGTCTCAGCAACCCAGAGGACACAACAGGGCACAGGAACAGGGTGAAGCTGATCCTGAGCCCAGGTGTACAAGGTAGCCAATTTTATCCAGGAAGCACCTGCTGACCTGCCCCAGGCTCAGGCTGAAGTAGGCCTTTCCTCTGGAGAGCACAGATGCCCCCAGATGCAAGCTGAGTAAGCTGGAAGCCTGTGTACACACAGCACTTGATCAATCATACCCTCCCAGCAAGTGTTTCCATTATCACAGTACATTGAAATCTCGTGCTCTCAGGCAGGTTCCAACCTAAACGATCTCTGAACGAACACACACACACACACACACACACTCACACACCTCACACACACACACTGCTGCAGTCGCTTCATGCCAATCACCCAAGCCTGAGGACTTCTTTCACATTCAAACTCAAACTAGCAGCTGGTTTTGCTTGGTCCACGTTTCCCTACTTGGACTTGAGAATTCCACAGACAACACTGCTTCCAGGAAGCCTCCCTTGACTAAGCTGGACCTCTCTCCGTCCTCTCACAGCTTTGTCCTTTATACTGTAATAGCCTCAAATGAGGGCACACTAAACCACCTAAGCTAGCATATCCTTCATTGCTAGTTTTGAATGTTCAATAAACGCTGCCTGAATGAGGCTCCAAGGAACAGCTGGTCAGCTAACAAAGGACAACCCCAAGCGTGCTTTGCTTTGGGCAAAATGATTATGAAGCAAAAACCACAAAGTCAGAGTCTTCTTACCTGGAAGAAATCAACTTAATTTTCAGTCAGCCTGTCACCTTGTATCTTGAGCAAGCCATGCCCAGACCCCAGGTGTCTCCAGCCTGCATGCCTTCTGCATAGCACCAGTCACAGTGGCTCTGCTTGGGGGTTTAATGCAGGCATTCTCAAATTCTCAATAGCAGCACTAGTAACCTTTGGGCAGGGTGATTCTTTGTGGGAGGTGATCCTGTGTGATGTACCTGTTCTTTTGGTAGTTATTGGAATGGAACCCAAGGCCTGATGCATGCTAGATAAAACACTCTTATCACTGAGCTGTACTCCTGTTCCCCTTTGTAAGAAAAAAAAAATTGAGACACAGTCTTGCTGTATAGACCAAGCTGGTTTCCAATTTGTGGCAGGCCACCTGATTTAAGCCTACCAATTGCTGGGATTACAGGTGTGTATTACCTGGCTGTAAAATACTTAACAGTACTGATCTCACAGCTGAGGCAAATAACTCCCTTCCTCAAGCTGTGATAGCTAAGTGTCCCTCTGGAGTTAAAAATGGCCCCTGGCTGAGAACCACAGGTGTCATGTTTATTCCCTCGGTTACAATGGAAGTCCCCTGAAGGTGGCCCTGACACCTGAGATCCTGTGTCCTCAGTCTCTTAAGTTTTAATGACCTCAGCCTGGCACTCACCTTGGCAGTGGATCCCTTTGCCCTGGACAGAGCCCACCACACACACTGGGAGAAGTTAACCACCTCTTCCCTTCTGCCACTCTAGGGCTCACACTGCTGAGGGCAGATAGGGACTTTTGCATTTGGGAACAGTCACTCGGCCTCCATTTTCAGGGTGGTCAGGCAGGCAATGACTATGGACAGCAGGCGGTGAGGCAGGGCAGGGGCTTTCTTAGCGCTGTGAGGCAGCAGGTGCACAGCATTTCTCCACAGGGATGACCTCCACTCTTCATCCTTTCCTCAGGACGTTCAGGCTTTATTAGGGACTCCAGGGCTGGCTTCTCACCCTCCCAGTGGGAGGAGGCAGTGAGTGGAAGGCAGTCTGGGGGAGACTGGCAGTCTTATTGGTCTCTCTTGCTTTCCCCTGGTCCTCTGGGATAATCACATGGTGAGAATCTGCTTTGAAGACACAAAGGGCTTCATGGAGGCTTCCAAGGCTTGCTGGTAGTCCTGCAGCGGAACCTCAGAACAGGTGGGGGCTGTAAGCTGGCTTTGGCGGATGAAGTTACACAGAGTGAGAATCAGCTCCTTGAACTCATCTGCAGGAGGTAGGAGAAAGACAAGAAACAACAGTGAGTTAGTGAGATGACACTTAGCCAATGAAGCCTCAGAACCCTGGCTTGTCCCCACCAGGGTCTGACATTGTGAGGGCCAACATGAGACAGGGAAACACGAAGAGAGGCCCTAGGAACTGTAGGGTGGGCACTGACTACCCTTGTCAGTGACGGCTGAGGTGGTTCGGATCCACAGGACAGGCCTGGTGAAGTTGTCTCTAAATGGTGGGTAGCAGTACTGAACTAGGGAAACCAGAGAAGGTCAGAAAGGCAGTGTGCCAGGCACACTGCTTGATGGCAACAGACCAGATGAGGAAAAGCTGTCCTTGACAGCCTGGGCTTCCATGGGAGTCCTTAACCGAGGAAACCACTACCCCTTCTTGGGCCTGCCTCTTAACCGAGGTCCGAACACAGTGCAGGAGTGTGAAGTGAAAGCTTTAGCTGAGAAGTGCTTTTCATAGACAGATAAACTCAACCTCTGGTGGGCACAGTGGCACACCGGTAATCCCAGCTCTTGGGAGGCAGAGGCATGCAGATCTCGTGCGTTCGAGGCCAGCCTGGTCTACAGAGTGAGTTCCCGGACAACTAGAGCTACATAGTCAGAACCTGTCTTGAAAATACAAAACAACCAACAACAAAACACTATGTTGGCTTCCCAGTTACCAAGGTAGGAGTATGAACTTTTAAAAAAGGCTAAACCTTTCCTAATCTGGCCAGAACTCCAACTTCTTTTTTATTTTGATTTGTTTATTTAAATTAGAAACAATCTCATTTTACATGTCTTCCAACTTCTTAGTTCAGGACCAGACTAATGCTCCAGGTGCCAGGGCCTGCCCTGTGTGCTTGATTCCACTCTCTATTACATGTTTACTCTGGGAGCGAGGCATTGGTGGTGCACACCTTTAATCCCAGCAGTCAGGAAGCAGGTGGATCACTATGCCCTTGAGGCCAAGCTGGTCTATGCTTCGAGTTCCAGGACAGTCAGGACTATACAGAGAAACCCTGTCTTGAAAAACAAAACAAAATAAAAAGTTCATGTTTTTTATGTATATACTTCTAAGTGTGTATGTGTGTAGGTAAGACCAATACACATTGACTGAGGTGTCTGCCTCAATCTTGTTTCTTGTTTATAGATGAGGTCTCACTGTGTAGTCCTGACTGGCCTGGAACTCTCTTTGTAGACCATGGAGATCTGCCCACCTCTGCCTCTCAAGTCCTGGGATTAAAGCTGTGCACGATCTTTCTCAGAACATCTATAGGTTTTGAGACGGTCTCTGACTCTGAAGCTCTTTATTTGGCTAGGCTGGCCGGCCCATGAGCTCCAGGCATCCAGCTGTCTCCACCCTTTTGGCCCTCCCTCTATTCCTGGGGTCAGGCTTTTTACATGGGTGCTGGGAATCTGAACTCAGCGTCTAAACTTGCTTGGCAAGCACTTTACCAACTAAGTTAGCCCCCAGCCCTTGCATTCACTCTCTTGAGTTTTTGTACATTTTTCTACTCAAAACCCCTATGCATGCCACCACTTCCCTCCATGTCATTCATTCTCAGCTTTGGCTCCTAATCTGGGGAGCTAGGCCCTAGTAGTCAAGGGCCCATCTGCTCACTCTGGCAGCCCATTCCTGAGATAGAACAGCTCTGGGTAATTGACTTAGTAGCTATGAAGCTCAGTTTTCTCCTGTCTAATTGCTCAAATGAGTTCACACTCACAATGCTTAGTTTACACTCACAAAACAAAGGCAGAGATTCAGTGACTTACTCACAATTCCCCAGCTAGGCCAGGGCAACCTAGATCTGGTGATGCTGGCAACATCATGTGAATGCTTTCTTATTTTGGGGGGTGGGGGCTGGTTGTTTTGTTTTTTTCTTCTTCTATTTTTTTTTTTTTTTTTTTTGAAACAACATCTAGCTGTAAAACCAAGGATGGCCCTGCCCTCACAATCCTCCCACCTAAGCCGAGAGGGCTGGAATCGTGTGTATTCATTGCACCCAGCCCGCTCTCTTTACTTGGCAGGCTTCACCACCCCCATCAACTCCTCAGAGCAAGGCCTGGTCCATCTTACTGGACTCAGTAGCCAATCTAGAAGTGATTTGTTGACTGTGACTATGGTAAATGCTGTCTTTTATCCTGTTGTAAGGAGGCTGAGGACTCTGCAGTCACTCTGCAGATTTTAGAGCAGCTGGTCATTTTGTAGCCATACTGAGCTCTACCCTTCTGTGATCCTGGGTATCAGGTCATCAGCCACTCACCTGGACTGTGGTTCTTCTTCCACTGGGACAACCAGAAGCCCCGAAGTTTGACGTCCTTAAAGATGAGCAGGCTCTGTGGACACAGAAGGATTTGCTGGGGGTTCTGAGTACTAGAACTTCAAAGCATTGCGTCAGGTACAGATCCCTGAGTTTAGACAGCTGCAGACAAGGAAAGAGGCACCCCAGCGCTGGTCTGCAGGTATCCCCAGCTTACCACAGGGGCTGTTACGGGCTGCTTAGCCATTCCTCCATAGGTCACCATGGTTCCTCCAGGCCTGTAGAGTCCAGAGAGAAGAGAGAGTGAGTATGAGCAGAGACAGAACCTACCATAGCCTAAGATCCTCAAGAGGAACCTGCTAAGGCATTTACAGGAAACAATTCTGGCTCTCAGAATACCTGGGGAGGTTTTAAGAAAAAAAAAAAAAAAATATATATATATATATATATAATATAAATATATATAGCTTCCTAGTTTAAACCTCTGACTTAAAGAATTAGGAGGCAGGGATTTATATTAAAAAGAACACACATGCAGGGCATGGTGGCATGAGCCTTTAATCCCAGCCCTGGAGAGGCAGAGGCAAACCGATCTGTGAACATGAGGCAAGCCTAGTCCACACAGCAAGTTCTGTCTCCCAAGTGTGATTTTGAGGGTTGTTATGATGAAGATGGTTCAGCCCTTGTCTCTTCATCTGTAAACGCTCACTTTAAAGATCTGTGCCATGGGCTAGAGAGATGGCTCAGACGTTAGGAGCACTGACTGCTCTTCCAGAGGTCCTGAGTTTAATTCCCAGAAATCACATGGTGGTTCACAACCAGATAATGAGATCTGGTGCAGGCACACACAGAGGCAGAATGTTGTATACATAGTAAATAAATATATCTTAGAAGAAAAAGGAGAAGGAGATCTGTGCCATGTAGCTCTCCAGCTAAGGAGGGACATGGATAGTGAAGGAGACAATGATGAGCATCCTCTCTGGAAGGGGCTTTGTTAGAACCTGCAGACTGACAGCCATCTTAACAGTTAAACAGGCAGGACACAAATACAATGTTTTGTTTTTGAGGAAGGGTCTGGTCATGCAGCCCAGGCTGGTCACTAACTTGTAATCCTCCTGCCTCGGCTGAGATGCCATGAAAGTGCCAATATGCCCAGCTCTAATGTAATTTCTTACAATGAGTAGGTGAGGGTATCACATGCTAGATTTACCCTTTGTTGCCTTCCCTGCTCGTGAATCTTTTAGGAGTTGGGTGATCAAAGACAACCTGACGCACATTTTGGAGCAACCAAGGAAAACTAAAAAGGAAATCGTGGAAGTAATTGCTGTATCTACCTCTCTACCTGTCAATCTCAGCGCTGGGGTGGTCCTGAAATCTTCACAGGTTAAGCACATGCTCTAAGACTGTTCTCACACTCCTAACTTGTTCTCTCTCTGTGCCATTGTCTCACTTTGTGTATGTGTGCATGTGATTCTCTGTATCCCATGGCTACCTCAAACTTGGCACATGGCTCATTCTGGTCTTGATCTCATGGCAACCCTTTTCCTTAGTTTCCCGAGTGCTAAGATTACAGGGGTGTCCCATAAGCCTGGCTTAATTTAGTCTTAAAGTTCCCTTCAAATGGTTCTCACTCAAGAAAGAAGCTACTAGGGCAGAGGTTCTCAACTGTGGGTCACAACCCCTTTGTGGGTGAATGACTTTCGCAGGGGTCGTCTAAGACCTTTGGGAAACACAGGTATTTACATTAGGATTTATAACTAGTAAAATGACAGTTATGAAGTAGCAATGAGTTAATTTTATGGTTTGGGTCACCACAACATGAGGAACTGTATTAAAAGGTTCCAGCATTAGGAAGGTTGAGAAGCCCTGCTCTAGGGGAAGTGAGCCCTCCTGTGTATAAGCACAACTCTAAGCAAGTTATCTGTACTGTCTCCATGAACTATCAGAGTAACGACAGGGGAAATTGGTGTCTGTGGGAGAGCTGAAGCCCATTGCTTCCGCATCACCTCAGCACCTCTCACACACAGGCTGCAGTGGCAGGACCCTGTTTCTTAGTCCCATTTTAGAGATGAGGAGACTGAGGCTTGGTCTTTTCATGTTTTGCCTAACTTTTCACAGGTTCACAACTAGTAAGTAGCAGAACTGGGGTTTAAACCCAGTTCTTCTAACCTAGGTGTCCATACTGGTGACCACTGCTTCCTTTGAAAATCACACGGAGGATGCAGTTAGCCTCACGACTGCTGAACAGGGGTGTTCTGTAGTTATGAACACTCGGATTCAACACTTGCTCTCTTGCCAACTACTCCTTGAATGAGGCAATCGCCCTCTCTGGGCTTCATTTTTTAAAATCTAGAACAGAGATGGGGACCGGGGACATAGCTCAGTAATGGAACATGTGCTTAGCATGCCCAAGGGAGGCCCTGGTTCAACCCCAGCACCCAAAGGGAAGGCAACACAGGAATTGGAATAGCAGCACCTGCCTAGGGCTACAGGATGGCATGATGGTCATTGCAGAGGCTGACTCTCAGGACAGCTGTGTGGCTCACCTGTCCCAAGCTATGCTCTGCCACCTCCACAGCTGGCAGGTTACTGGGGGCGGAGAGTGGGGGGTGGCTCCACCTGGAAGCTGTTTCCTGGGTGCCCTCCAGTTGCAGAATAGAACCCAGTGGGTGGAGCTTCTCCCTGGAGGGTGGGGCTGATAGAGTGTCCACCTCTCCTTTCCCCTCAGTACTTTCAAATGCTTTCAAAATGTTTTGTAATAGGTGTAATGTTTCCTTGGTATTAATTCCAGTTTTAAAAGACAGTAAAACAATTTCAAAGCTATTTAGTTCAGACTAAATGACTTTTTTTTTTTTTTTTTTGAAACATGGTTTCTCTGTGTAACAGTCCTGGCTGTCCTGGAACTCATTCTGTAGACCATGCTGGCCTCAAACTTATAGAGATTGCTGGTTTCTGCCTTCTGTATTGTGCTGGGATTAAAGGTGTGCACACCGCCGCCCAGCTAAACAAAGTGACTTTAAGAGGCTCCTAGGTGACAACTCCTGGGTCCTTTGGGGGGAAAGGCTTGCCAGGTTTCTCATCCAGAGGATGAGGCTGGGAGTGCAGGACAGAGAGAGCAAAATGTCCTGGTGTGGAACCCTGGCCTTGTGTCACACTTGTACTAGCCAGCCTTCCCAATAGAGACCTGCCGTTGAGGGACTTACGCTAGGTGCCGCAGCAGCTCTGTGGAACTCTTCCCTCCAACACAATTGAGAGCCAGTCGGGGCAGAGGCAGGTCCTAGAAAGTAAGGAGCCTACAGTGAGGGTGTGACCTGCTGTAAGTGGGGTCTGAAGCTGCTACAAGCAGCAAGTGCTGTGCCAGGGAGAGAGAGTGAAGGGTGTGTTATCTGACCAAGAAGGGCTTTAGGGGCTTCATCCTGTTGCCCGTTCCAGAACTCTGGGATGTACAGACAAGGAGCACCTCTGATCAGGCTCAAGAACAGAAAAGTCTCCACGTGATGTGCTGACCTCCCTTTCAGCAATGTTCTCCAGGGAAAACATTCTCAGCAGCAGGTATTTGGTCCTTCTGTATGGTTTAGTGCAAAAAGCCTCAGACGGGGCCTGCTCACTTACTGGGTCTGCAAGCAGTGGGGACCAGCCTCATCCCTTTGTGATGATGTGGTTGTCATCTATGTAGCATCCCTGTTCTGCTATGTTGTAGAGCTTTTCTGAGGATGGCCAAGTAAATGTGAGGCAGAGGTTCAGGAAATGCAGCTTCTCTTTCTTTTCTCTCCATGCCTTAGTTTTCTCTCCATGCCTTAGTCTCCTCAGGCCTTCACCCAGATCTGACTCATGCCTGCTATGTGTGTGATGGAGCACCCCACAGATGTTTAAGACCTCAGCTTTCCTAAAATCTATCTGCTTCTGCCTCCTTCACAGTGTCTGGGTACTTTGTCCTTTCCAGAAGAGAAGGTGGTTTTAGAGCAGAGCAAGGAGACAGCCCCAGACTTCCCACTGACGGGATGACACAGGATGGAGGGGCAGTATTCTTTAGCTGGGTACCTTGTTTTTATTTTCTTTTGTGTGTGTGGATGTAAATGTTTCTGCCTGCATGTCTGTCTGTGTATCATGTGTGTGCCTAGAGCCCACGGAGATAAGAAGAGGGCAAGGGTGTCTGATTCCTTGGAATTGGAGTTATGGATGGTTGTGAGTCACCATGGGGCTCAAACCCAGATTATCTGCAAGAGCAACAAGTGTTTTTAACTGCTTAAGCACCTCCCCAGCCCTTGGCGGGGTACCTTGAAGATGTTTTTTGTCTCAGGCATCCGTAACTCCTCCTCTGTGAGGACATAGTCAGCTCCCAGGTCCTTCAGTCTCTCTGTTAGCTTCTGGATGTCAGGTCTGAAAACCAAACACAACCAGGGACCTTGGTCACACTGCCTAACTTCCCTCCCTCAAGCCTTGAGAACACGTGTTTCTGTTTTGAGACCTGCGACTGAGGTTAAGCCAGACATCAAGCAAGGTCCAGCCATATTATTCAATCATGCTCCACCAGCTCTGGCCTCATTTCCCCACTGGCCATCCCTCCCTGCCCAGAGGCAGGCTGGGAGACAATCTGAAAACCCTGACAAGTGCACACATGCTACAACTACCTGTGCCCAGGCAAGAGCCTCTGTATTTCCTAGTTCTATTCAGACAGTACTTTCTTTCCTTTTGTTCTCCAAAGCACGCAGGGCATCATGCAAACACACTCCAGTGCAGAGTGGCCCTGGACTCTGGTCCAGGCATACAGAATCACTTTAGCATCACCACTGCAGAGTCAGGGGCTGAAGTAAGTAGCAATAGTAAGAAGGGACTCCACGAGTGACTCGGCCCCGCTGGAGCACAGTGAAGCTGAAAGGGACTGGAGGGGAATGGAAAGAAGGTAGGTCTGTTACTGACTTGCTGTGTCTTCCTGAGTAAGCTGCTTCCTCTCTTGAAAACTTCAGCTTCCTCATCTGTAAGAGAGATCACAAGCCTGTCCCACCTCCTTCACAGCTGTGTTTAGTGCACAAATGCAAGTGGATGGAGACCATGGGCTAGAGAGTGCATGTAACAGTATACCTCAAGACCAGCCCAAACCTTCAAATGGTTTTGAAAGTCAGGGTTATCCTAAACCAAGTCTTCACTACTCTTGATGGTTCAGTAAGGACCATCTCGACCTCCTTCTGACATGTCTGTTTCAAATTTTCACAGGGACTTCTCTGCCCTGGTGGAATGCACGTGCTTCAGCAGCTAGCCACTCATGCTTACGCAAGCGCGCCATCTGGTGGAGATGTGGTTACCCACCGGGACATAAGGTGGAAAGGCCTCCTCCCCACAATACCTGTCTCGGACCACATTGATGGTCTTTAGGCGAAGGGCTGAGGCGATCTGGATGACTGCTTGCCCCACTCCACTGTTGGATGCATTCTGGATGACAGAGTCCCCTGTGAAAGAGATTCAAGTCAAGCCCTGAAGGCTTGGAGGAGGTTGAGGGCTCTCAGTCTGGGATTCTGGGGCAATGTGGGACCCAGCAGTGGAGCCTTCTCAGACCTTGAACTCCATATTTCCCACATTGTACCATACCCAAAATGCTTCTCAGGACTTGGCCACTCTGTTTCAGCCCTGCCATGTGACTGACCTTGATCATCTTCCTAATTTTTAAAACTAATTTTTTGGTTGTTGTTGTTTGGTTTTTTGAGATAGGGGTTCTCTGTGTATCTCTGGCTGTTTTGGATCTAGCTCTGTAGATCAGGCTGGCCTTGACCTCAGAGATCCACCTGCCTCTGCCTTTCAAATGCTGGGATTAAAGGTGTTTGCCATCACTACTGGGCCACTTCCTAATTTTTATGTCCTATTCTCTGTTTGGGCCATTTTTTTTTTAAGTTGCATTTGTGTATGTCCATGCACATGCATGTGTGTAGGTCAGAGGGACAGCTTGCAGATGTTCAGGGGTCAAACTCAAGTTGTCAGTCTTGGTGGTAAGCACCTTTGCTTGCTGAGTCATCTTACTGGCCCACGCTGAGGTCATGTGTTTCAAGTTCTGCTTGACTGTGACTTCTTTCATAAAGCCCTCCGGGGTTCCGTCCTGCATGCTCCTAAAGGGCTCTTTGGTATTTCAATCAATGCTCAGGCTGTAACTGTGTCCTATCTGTAGCTGTACATGGTTCCATATCTATCAATCACCTGTAGTCCTGGGGGAGGGCTCTATCTTATTCCTCTCTGTATTATTTAGTAAATGGATAAGAGCCATATTGGAGAAATAGGAAGCTCCAGGGCCTTATAGAATATTTGCTTTTACTTTGTTATGCTGTTATGCTAGGTCTTGAGCATGCCAGGCAAATATTCTACTACTGAGCTATATATACCCTCACTCCTACAGAATGACTGTGGTCAAAGCCCAGGCTTAGCTTTGTAGTTCATCAGTGGGGGAGGCAGGGAAGTATGAACTCTGGAACACAATGGAGCTGGATGTGTGTCCTGCTTCACTAATGACTGACTGTAACAAAACCAGACAGGCCATATCATGTCCTCTTCAAACTTCAGTTTGACTTCCCTAGCAAACAGGAGGCCCAAGAGCTCCTACCAGAGCATCTCTGAAGTCAAGCGATCAGGAAGATGTTCTGCCGACTGGGAAACACTACCTGGTTTTAAAAGGCAGACTGAAGAATGGATGGAGAAAATGTGGTACATTTACACAATGGAGTACTACTCAGCGGAAAAAACAATGGAATCGTGAAATTCATAGGCAAATGAATGGAACTAGAAGAAACCATCCTGAGTGAGGTAACCTAGTCACAAAAAGACAAACATGGCATGTACTCACTCATATATGGATTTTAGACATAGAGCAAAGGATTACCAGCCTATAATTCATACTGCCAGAAAAGCTAGAAACAAGGAGGACCCTATTTTAGACATAGAGCAAAGGATTACCAGCCTATAATTCATACTGCCAGAAAAGCTAGAAACAAGGAGGACCCTAAGAGAGACATACATGGTCCTCCGGAGAAGGGGAAAGGGACAAGATCTCCCAAGCAAATTGGGAGCATGGAGGGAGGGGAGAGGGAGTTAGGAGAAAGAGGAAGAGAAAGGGAGAAGAGGAGGGGAGAGGTGGGCACGAGGGAACAGGAAGATTGAGACAGGGAAAGAATAGAAGAGAACAAGAAAAGCGATACCATAATAGAGGGAGCCATTATAGATTTAAGGAGAAATCTGGCACTAGGAAAATGCCCAGAGATCTACAAGGATGAACCCAACTAACAATCTAAGCAACAGTGAAGAGGCTACCTTTAATGCCCTTCCATGATAATGAAATTGACGACTACCTTATATGACACTCTAGAGCCTTCATTCAGTAGCTAACGGAAGCAGAACTGAGCTGAACTCCTGGAATCCAGTTGCAGAGAGGAAGGAGTGATGAGCAAAAGGGGTCAAGACCAGGCTGGAGAAACCCACAGAGACAGCAGAGACAGCTGACCTGAACAAGGGGGAGCTCATGGACCCCAGTCTGATAGCTGGCAAACCAGCATAGGACCGACCCAGACCCCCTGAACGTGGGTGTTAGTTAGGAGGACTGGGCAATCTATGGGTCCCTTGTAGTGGATCAGTATTTATTCCTAGTATACGAATGGACTTTGGGAGCCCATTCCACATAGGGGGAGGGCCTAGGCCCTGCTCCAAATGATATGATAGACTTTGAAGATTCCCCATGGAAGGCCTCGCCCTCCCTGGGGAGCAGAAAGGGGATAGGATGAGTGATGATGGGGGACAGGGGAGGAGGGGAGGGTGAAGGAACTGGGATTGACATGTAAAACAAGCTTGTTTCAAGTTTAAATTTTAAAAAATTAAAAAAAAAAAAGAGTCAGTACAGAATGGGCTATAGCTAGAGGCAGACTCCTGGGTCAAGAATGCCCATTTGCCTTGGCTAAGGTTCCAGTCTGTCCTTCACAGTACATTCTCAACCAACTGTATAGGTTGCCAGCAGCACTGATTTGTTTCAGTTAGAGTTGAGGAGTACAGGAGTACACACCAACAAAGACAGTGAAAGCAAGTACTGGGCTGCCAAACTGGCTTCCATTATCTGTGTTCATTATGTGTTCTAGTGAACAGTGTGACATTTATTCTTAATTTGGGTCAGGTCATGAATTTGTTTGGCTTCATCAGCTTTGAGGCAGCAAAGTAGAGACGTAGGCTGGAGGCACTTATAGTGGGTGCCATCAGAATGCCCAGCTCTGTCCAGTACAGGGCTGCCCTAATCAGGAGTGGCCTCAGGGCCACGGCATGAGATGAGGCACCCAGTGTCTACTGTACTAGGACTCTAGCAGAAGTTTCTCATCACCCCTGGCTTTCTCCACCAAAGGCACCTAATATTCCTCCTGCCGTGTCTGAATGCCTTAGTCAGTGGCTATCTAATTTTATCATAGTCCCGTAGCTCTTGGCCTCACTTTCCGTACTGGTAGGAGAGAAGAGTGGTAGGTGATTTCTACAGCCCTATTTGGCTCACAGACATGTAATATGCAGAGAGATCTTCACACAGAGGGGAAGGCAGGGCTGGGCTAGGGGCATAGGTGAATGATAGAGTGATTGCTTGGCATGTTCTAGGTCCCAGATTCTACTCCTAAAACTGGAAATAAAACCCCCCAAAGCAACAAAACCAAACTGGCTGGCCGGTCTTCTGTCTTTGGAGGGTTAATTCCCCAGTGTGTCTTATGAGGATCCTTAGGGGATTACAGAGATGACAGCATTAACTGGCCTTAATGGGCTATGCCTCTGTCCTTTCTTGCCCCGTTCCCTTACTCCTGCTTCTAGGGATGACTTCCCACATGAACTGTTTGCCCCAAGACTTGCTTGGTTTCTGCTTTCAGAGGAACTAGAGTGTCACTTCTGGCTGCTTACTTGCTGAGTGACTTCATGTAACGGCTCACCTCCCTGGGTCTTTGTTCCTTCACTGGTGAAAGGAAGACTAAACATCGCACTCCAGTGACCCATGCACTCTGGTACCCCTTTACTCTCTCTCTTATGGGTAAACAGGGATGTGAGTGCTGAACGCACAGCTGGTGGAGGTGGTGCCTGGCTTCAGGCCCTGGTTGCTGGCTTGAGTTCTTAGCTCCTTCCCAGGAGCCCTTCTGCATTGCTCGGATGTGATGCACTTCATGGGATGATGCCGGCAAAGGCGCTCATGCGAGTACATGCCCTATGAAGGGCTGAGCAGAATTAGTAACACCGAGTTCAGCATTTTATTGAAAACAGTGACACTGTCTGTCTCCCCTGGCTTTGTGTCCCCAAAGCTTAGCATAGCTCAACACATTTTTGCTGGGTGACAGCATTCTAGCCCCAGCTCTGGGGAATGTGACTAGCACTTCTCACAGTATGTCCTCTGAGTGTTTTCTAGGAAACCATCAAACATCTTTTTACTTAAAGCCATAAGACTTACTCTGGTTAGAGCTTGTCATTGCCCCTAGGGACCCTCCCTCTACCACCTGTGCCAGTGAGTTCCCAAGTTCTTTGGACCAGGATGTGGGTTGCTCCCCAGTGGGGAGATCTGGGCTTGCTTTCTCCATTTGTAGGTGCTTACCTGGCTGCAGCTGTTCAAAGTCCACCAACATCCTGTAGGCTGTGCAGGGGTTGACAGATAGCGTGGCAGCACTCTGGAGAGGGATGTCCTTAGGGACTCGGGTCAGTGCTTCCTCACTGAACACAGCCTCAGTCCGCCAGGTTCCTGAGTCAGGATGAGGTAGGGGAGTGAGGGACGAACCTCTGCACAAACAACCCCAGGTCACCCTCCTTGGTACAAACGCTTCAAGGGGAGAAGATTTTGAGCAACACTTGGAAAGAGGAAAGAGAAAAGCTAGTGGTGTTCGAGTCCTCGTGAAAGTTACATGCATGGTGATGTAAAATAATAAAGCAAGCTTAAGTTAGGCTTACTAAGTCAGTGGCCAAAGAGTGCTGGCGAAGTGTGATGGGAGACATGGGAGACAAGACTCCACTGGACTCTCTCCCTTTGCGTTTGAGTCTGAGCAAACTTTGCCTCCCAAGCTTCAGCTCCTCGTATGCTGCTCTGGGTAGATATTGTCTGCCATCCTACCAGACAAGGTGTTAGGGAATCAGGGGAGGTAAACTAAAAAAATGTTCAACCCAAGATTCAAACACTAAAATTTCCACATGTAATCCTCAACTGCTTATCATTACTTTGCATAAATGAATGAACAGAGCAGATTGGGGCCTCAAACTGATCCCAAAGATTAAGGGTAAATTAATAACAGTAAGTGTTGTTAGTTTCCTGGTCAAAAGCTGGGGTGCAGGGAGGAGCTAAATGGTAAATCTGAGATACTCAACTCAGTTAGCTATCTGCTATCTCAAACACCCACTGTTTGGGGCCACTCAGAACAGCCCTTAACCAACCTAAAGTTAAAGGCCAATAGAAACAAGGGTGCTGGAGCATTACAGGAAAGCCACAGCCTCGTGGAATACATATTTTAATAGAAATGAGTTAATAATTAAGAGAGAGCTATCCAATAAGAAGCCTGAGCCATCAGTCAAACAGTTTGTAACGAATAGAAGCCTCTGCGTGTTTAATTGGGACTAAGGGCTGTGGGACCAGGCTGAAAAGAAACCTCTTCTACATTAAGGGCTGGAAAGATGGTTCCCTTATTGAAAGCACTGTTCTTCAAGATGACCTGGGTTCAATTCCCAGCACACTCACAATGGCTCACAACCCTTTCTAACTCTAGTTCCGGAGGATCAGATGCCCTTTTTTGGCCTCCAAGGGTATTGCATGCTTTCAGCACATAAATAATATGTTGATAAAACACCCATTCACATTAAATAAAACTTTAAAATATCTATTAAAAGGCAGGGTATAGTGTCACACAACTTTAATCTCAGCACTTGGGAGCAGAGGCAGGTAGATTCAATTTGAGGCCAGTTTGGTCTACCCTGTCTCAGAAACAAACAACAACAACAACAACAAACGCCAACAGAAACAAAATATGGGTTAATTATTTCTTCAGCTTGCTTGAGAGAATGAAGCTGTTTTCAGTCCCAAGCTCATTTCATCCTGGGCAGAAAGCATTTCTCATGTGGGCCTTAATAAGGGCTCAACAGACAGGCGGAGAGGTGCCTGTTTTCTCTTGTGTGCCATGCCTGCTGTCTTCCTGCCTCCACTGTAATAAAGCTCTCTAACCCTTTCCTCTGGTCTCGACTCCACTCTCTGGGGGGAGGGGTCCCTAACCTTAGGCCACCTCACCCATCTCGGGGAACACTACCCTCTTGTGGCTCCCATGGAGATCCATTTGGATAATGGACATGCCTTGAAAACATAAGGACTGAAAAGCAGGACACTCTAATGACTCTTTTCCATATATAAATGAAATGCTATCCTTAGCTTGGCTTTTCAGGGCCTTACCCCATGTGGCCCCACTCTACCTCTGGAACCTTCTTCCCATTATATAACCTCTCTGAGGGCAAATCCTCGGCTAGGGCTACACTGGATTTTCCATTTCCCAGCTCACCCTGGTGTCGGCTCAATTTACTTCTTCCAAAGGAAATGCCCTCAGCTCATCTCTGCTTAACAGCAACTTCCACCAACAGCCTGTTCTAACAGACTTTCTTCCAGTCTGCTTGAATTTTCCTCATGAATGTCTGTCTCACACATATGCATGCAGAGCAGCCTTCTGCTTCCTGCGGCCTCAGGGATCTCCCTTTATTGAGGTCCTGCCTTCCTGACACTTTAGTCAGATCTGAGCCTTCTGGAAGGCAGGCCAGCCATATTTGTTATCTGCATCACACCTTACAGCAGAGATTCAAGGATGTAAGGAATCAGCTCATAGCTCCAATCAACATGGAGCCAAGGAGACAGATGCACAGGTATGTCCCTCCAGAGCATAGCAAACAGGATTCTGCTCTCTTGGCTCAACTCCATGCTACTGGAGACAGGCCTATGAGTTTGACAATGAATCCTGCACTGCCCAGGCACACTTAGTCAGTGGGTGTACATCTCCAGGGGTGATGAACTAGCATCTGGAGGAATGAAATGACTGCTCTCACCTGGGAACACTCACCTAAACCAGCACTTGATAGGATCACCCAATCTCCTGGCTTCAATTCAGACACGCTGCTGCCCACTGCTAGTACCTGTCCAACGCCTTCATTCCCTCCAACAGCAGGCAGCTTGGGAAGGAGGCCATAGTTCCCTGGGAGAGAAGAATCCAGAGGGTAAATGTGGTTTGAATAAAAGTGTCACCCATAGACTCATATATTTGAGCACTTGGCCCTGAGCTGGTGGCACCCTTTTGGGAGGTCTGAGAAGCATGGCCTTGCTGAGGAAGTATGTCACGGAGGGTGGGATTCAATCTTCAAAGCCATGTTCCATACCCAGTGCTTGCTTTTTGTTCCTGCCACCATGCCTGCTGCCTGTGCCCTGCTGTCACAGACTCTAACCCTCCAGAACCCTATGCCCAAACAAACTGTCTTCTGTAAGTTGCCTTGCTTATAGTGTTGTATCATAGCAACAGAGAAGTAATAAAGTCACGCTGCCAGGTTAGGCTGACAGTGGAGGGCCCAGACTTTGGGGACAGTCACATCTGAGCCCACCAGGGCCTTATACTCTCTATCTGTCCACCTAGCCAAGCTCTGGTCTTTTGCTTCCTTGTCTTTGCAGGGAGCAGATACTCTTTAGATACACAGTTACCATGAGAGTAAGCTCAACTAAGAAAGGAATGCACAATGTCACAGGCTCTTCAGAGGGGCAGGTCTACCACTACCTCAGTCCTCCCAACTCACAGAGCCTCATGCTCAGGGGCTGGCCAGAGAGTGTGACACTGGGTGCACACAGCTCCTCTACAGGACAGCCACTGCTAATCCTGAGAATTCCATGCCCTATCCGAGGAGAAACAGAAAGGAGGCAGCTGCTGAGCCAATTACCATAAGCTCCAGAGACCAAGGTTACCTTGGATCATATTTATGTCGGATGGATTGACAGGGGCTGCCAGCATCTTCACGTGGACATCAGATCCTCCCACAGCAGTGAGCTCCAGGTTCTTCAGTCTAAACACAAAGACACAGAAAGACTTTGTAACCAACTAAGTCTACATGTTTTCTATTCAAACTGTCTCCCCAATGTAGGTTAGCAACACATCTCAATTGCCACATTTACCCAGGAATCTTGTTCTGATAGAAAAGAGGTACTTCAAGGACCAGCACAGAGTGTGGGCTCACACTAACTGTGTGGCCTCTTAGTGCCACTGCTCAGTTAGGGACAGAAACATTTGTAGTGGCATCTTGTAACACCAGTGGACTTGGGGTGGTGGCCACACCTTAGGGCATGGCTTCAGGTGTGTGGACGTGACCCTTATAAGGAATGGGGAGCTAGTTTGAGCTCTCTTTGGGTGGTGGTCAGAGCATCCTGAAGGGCAGAGGCTGCATCTCCAGGAGTAGGACTGTAGCAGTTATTTATCATCATTGTATGAGAATTCCTCAAATAAATACCTATTAATTATTCATCTGCATATTTGTGGACTCCTTTAAACCCACCATCACCTGGCACCCAATTGTGCCATGCCCTAAGGTGTGACCACTACCCTAAGTCCGCTGGCAAAACAAGATGCCACTACAAATATTAGTGAGCCTCTGCTGAGCTGGCCATAGGTTCCCCTGCACCTGCTTGGTTCTAAGAATCATGCAGTTACTCACTGTTAATGCGGCCACTGCTGATGCATGGACCAATGTCACCTGGTGAGTGTACCCCAGGTGGTTCTTCTAAAAAGGCACATCTGGGAAATTCTTCGATAGGGAAACTCTGGGTCAGACCCGACTTCTACCCATGTGTCTTTGTTGGCTCCAGCACACATAGGCAGAGGTGACATTTCCCTTAGTGCAGAAAATGAGGTACCTATGAAGTGGCCCACACCCCAGGGAGATGGGATGGAGACGTCGGTTCTAGCTCTGCCACAAGGTAGCTGGGCACCAAAAGCAAATCTCTTCTCTGTGCTGGCTAGGCTTTGTGATGAAGGTTTGAACTATATCCCCCCTCTAACAGCTCTCAAGGTTTTCTGTGCAAGCATGGGGACCCGAATTCAGCTCTCACAGAAAAGGTAGGCACAGTGGCCCTGAAGGCAAAGCAGAGAAAGGCAGATCCTGAAGCCACCAGTCAGGCTAGCGAAAATGTGAGCTGAGCGCCAAGTTCCATGAGAGACCATGTCTCAAAGATGAAGAAACAACCGAGGAAAATGCCCTGCTGCCAAACACTGGCTCCCATACACGCCTGCATGGGTCAGCTCTCTCTCACACACACAGCCCAGGAGGCTTTGAGGGGACTTTTGCTATAAAAAGTCTTTTTTGGGTGGGTATGGTGGTGTATCCCTATTCCAGCACTTGGGAGGCCGACGGCAGCCTAGGCTACATAGTGAAACCTTGTCTTAAAAAACAGAAGTGGGTTTTATTCTATTATCTTGTTTTGTTTTCAGACAGTTTCTCTATGTAGCCCTAGTTGTCCTGGAACTCGTTTTGTAGACCAAGCTGGTCTCAAACTCAGAGAGATCTGCCTGCCTCTGTCTCCCAAGTGCTGGGATTAAAGGCGTGTGCCATTACCACTCAGCCTTATTCTAAAATTTTTAATGTGTATTAACTGCAGAAGCTGGAGCTGTTAAGAGACAGGCGTGTGCTGCTTAATGTGATGCTGAAAGCTAATCTAGGTCCTTGGAGAGAAGTCTACACCCTTAGCTGCAGAGCCATCACCTCTGCAGAGGCCATGGAAGGGTACCACGGGGTGCTTATTGGCTTGCTCAACTTTCTTTTTACAATCTTATTTAAGATTTATTATTATTTTTTTACGTACACTGGTGTTTTGCCTGCATGTATGCCTGTGCAAGGTCTGGAACTGAGTTACAGACAGTTGTGAGCTGCCATGGACCCGGATCCTCTGGAAGAGCCGCCAGTGCTCTTAGCCACTGAGCCATCTCTCCAGCCTATCAGCTTGCTTTCTTATAGTACCTAGAATCACCATAATGTTCTGGGCCCTCCCACATTGATCATTAAGAAAGTGCCCTACAAGCCTGCCTTCTATAGTTTGAGCTTATGGAAGCAATTCCTCAATTGAGGTTGTTGTCTCTCAGATTATACCACAGCTTGTGTCACCTTCACGAATAACTAGCTAGTACACCTGCTGACTAGACAGCACTGGTCACTGCACTATACCAGTGGATCCCTGTGATTTCTCAATAATTGCAAACTCCGTTTCTTTCCTGAAACTTAATGCTCCAGGCCTGCAATGCCTCTCTGCTCCAATGTATCTACAAAGGAATAATTTTCCTCATTTTTACTTAGCAGAATCCTATATAATTGCCAGTCAGAGGCTCCCAGCATGCTGCCACAGTGGCCCCACACTAAGCTGAGGTAATCTACCCATCTCCTGCAGAAATCTCACCTTCTTAATTAGACCCAAGGCATGATCTTGGGCTAAAAGTATGATTTTTCAAGTAATGTTTTATACTAATAGGAAAAACAGGCAAGCTCACCTGAGCTCTTCTCTCCACCAGGCTGTGCTGAGAGCTTTAAGATGTAACCCTTCTGTGAGGGATGAGTAGTAGGGGGCTCAGATCCTTGAGATGATGAAGTGTAAACTGACGGCTTCAAGCTCACACTGATTTACATGGTTGTCCACCATCCAGAACTGAGCTTGGGGGTCCTGAGAGCCTACAAAAACCTCTGAGAATCTGGGGAACACAAGCTAGGAACCCCTGGAATGTCATGATCCCATGAAGAAAAACCAAGTCTCACTATGATTATGAATCAGCTAGAGGTGGTGGCGCACACCTTTAACCCCAGTGATTTTGAGGCAGAGCCAGGTGGAACTCTGAGTTCGAGGCCAGCCTAGTCTACAGAGTGAGTTTCAGGGCAGCCAGGGGCTACTGAGAGAAACCCTGTCCCAAAAAACAAAACAAAAACAAAATAAGAGTCAGCTAAGAAAATGGTTAACTAGGAAGAGTGGGAAGCCAAGGACAGGGACAGAAGAAAAAGCTTTGCAAAAGGAAGGTGGTGGTGCCAAGGATTGTGTGTGTGTGTGTGTGTGTGTGTGTGTAGCTGGAGTAGGGAGGGTTCCTCCCTACAATAATAACTGCAACTTACTGAGTGTTCACCAGCCAGGCTCCCTGCCAAGTGCTTTATAGGCCAGCTTCTACCCTATTTCAATAGCTGCAGACTATTGTTCTGCCTTTATAGCTGAGGAACAAAGGCGCAGAAGAGGTAAATAACTCGCTCGGGGCTGCTGACAGTGGTAGGTGGTTGATCTGATCTGAACCTGGCAGTAGGATGGTAACAGAGTCCGCCTGGTAAGTGCTGGATTCCAAACCAAGCAGCAGGCTGTGAAATGAGCCCTGGCCTGACCTGGCCCAGAGGTTGACTCTTGTTGTACCGGGCTGAGGGGAAGGAAGGAGGTTGATATTGCTAAGGCCTCCCCAGCAGACCTCAAAGGGAAGCCATCAGTGCTATTTCTCTGGGACTATGTATTAAGTCTGCATCCCAGAGAAAATTCCAGCCCTGAGCAAATCGGTTTTTGGACTAGCTGCCTCTTCGTGTTATCCCACTGCTTCTCCGGCATTCTGACAGATAATCAGACCTTTCCTGTAAGACGACAAAGCCCAGGAGCTCAAGCTGCTTAAGACATAGCTTTTCTTTTTTTCTGCACATTTTTCTACACACTGCTCCCTCAGCCAAGAATTTCATTTCCACAGCTTCTCCGTGAAATAAAAATTTAACTCAGCCTTCAAGACCCAGATCAAACTTTACCTCCCCCCAGATGTCTTCTGACATCTGGTGCTGGCAATGGTCACTTTCTTAGCCCTTCTGTTCTGCAGCAGGGGTGACTATGCCACTTAAGACCATCTCATGGTGATCAATGTGTCTTAGTTTATGAAGTCTTCCCGTGGCTGCTTTTAAATTGATCAAGACATGGGTTCAAAATTCCTTTTCTGGAGTTCTCCAGAGTTCATAACCGTGAGTTATCTACACCCCTAGGGGCTGGGCAGTCTCCTTTCCAGTCAGGCGCTCCTGCAGCAAGAGGCATGAATATTCACACCAGATACGAGGGGCAAACTAGTTTCCCTCCAAACAGTTTTCAGAGCTTCCTGCAATTGTGGAAAGGAGTTTGGGTCTGGATCTTTCAGACCTGACACCCAGAAACCCTTTTTACTTATCACCTGGAGGGAGGGAGGGAAGGCCAGGAGGAGGTAGGGGAGGGGAGGGAGGGAGGGAGGGAGGACTTAGTTTCTCCTAAGTGATGAACAAGTATCTAGGACTAAATTGTCTCCTGTGAGAGAATGAGGGTAAAAGCACCAGTCATCTGGGTTGGAGAGATGGCTCAGCGTTTAAGAGCACTGGATGTTCTTCCAGAGGACCCAGGTTCACTTCCCAGCACCTGCAGGGCAGTTCACATGGCAGGTCCAGTTCCAGGGGACCCAACACCCTCTCACCAATACACATAAGATATAATAAATTTAAAAAGTGCCAAACACCTAGGAAGTCAAGGGAGGGAAAAGTCTGTGATGATTCCCAGGCTCAGTTTGGATTCCTAGCTGAGCAAATGAAGAGGAAGGATGAGGGAGCTCACAGTAGGCACAAAGGTGTTGTATTTGAAGTCTGATGCCGGAACTTGTGGGGTGGACAGCAGATGATGCTCTGGCTAGACATAAAGAGCATCAGACATAAAGAACTGCCAGCCCACTGTGTGGGAGGAGTCTAGAGATTAACACTGAACTCTGGCCACCAGGCTAGACAACAAAAGGACAGCTGAACCTTCCTAAGCTCGTCACTCTGCATCCACAGGTTGCTTAGCCTTCCCAATGCTTATGCTCTGGGCATCATTCTGATTTTAAAAAGGGAGGAAGCTAAGAAACTAGGTTAACTGGCTTAAAAAAAAAAAAAAAAAAAAAAAAAAAAGGAAAGAAAGAAATTAAAAGAAAAAAGTAGCAAGCCTGTTCTTAAGTCAGACTCCAAGCTCAGGCTGAGCACTGCCTACATCTGGTCTCATGTTGGTATCTCCTAGGAGACAT